TGTAGCAGGGAGTTCCATAGTCTGACTCTTACATCGTTTTAACAGTCATGCAGAATCCTAGAAACCGTGGTTTGCTAAGGTCATGCGCCCTGAACAAACTACAGTTCCCATGATTCTTTGAGGTAAGGCACCACTCTTAAAGCGATACAAGGGTGCTTTAATTTAATAAACAAACAGAATGCCTTTTAAATGTGTTTGTGGGAGGGGGATATTGGTTTGTGCTCCCCCCCCCCACTTGCCTTTATTATGAATTTTGTGTTTTCATCTTGTACAGTCATACCTCATGTTACGTTTGCTTCATGTTATGTTCTTTCAGGTTTCGTCCCAGGGTGACCCGGAAGTACCGGAAAGGGTTACTTCCGGGTTTCACCGCTCGCGTATGCGCAGAAGCACAAAATGATATCACGCGCATGCGCAGAAGCGGCGAATCACAACCAGCGTGTGCGCAGATGCGCTGCTTCGGGTTGCGCTCTTTTCATGTTGCGAACGGGCCTCCGGAACGGATCCCGTTCGCAACCAGAGGTACCACTGTATTTTGATGTTGCGAACTGCCCTGAGTTCTACGGATGAAGCACAGTACAGTGGTACCTCGGGTTAAGTACTTAATTCATTCCGGAGGTCCGTTCTTAACCTGAAACTGTTCTTAACCTGAAGCACCACTTTAGCTAATGGGGCCTCCTGCTGCTGCCGCGCTGCCGGAGCACGATTTCTGTTCTTATCCTGAAGCAAAGTTCTTAACCTGAAGCACTATTTTTGGGTTAGCGGAGTCTGTAACCTGAAGCGTATGTAACCTGAAGTGTATGTAACCCGAGGTACCACTGTATACAAATTAAAGAAAGAAAGAAAGAAATTGTGATGTACGCTGCAGAAGTGACCCTAGCAACTTTATCAAGACCTGCCTGTAATATCCCGAGAGAACTTACGTCTTCTTCATTGGAACAGGATGTCCTTGCTCCCCCTCCGAAGTCCGAGATGCTATTTATTATTATCTATTTAAAATGCTAAAATTCCCTTCATCCGGATGGATCTGAGGGCAGCGCACAATAAACTCAACAGTCACGAAGCGCAATAAAACATAACAAACCCCCATAATACCAAAAGCAGAAGCAATTACACAACAATGAAACACCTATCAAGACAATGAAGAAAAGAAATAGGGAATCGGCCGGAATCAAAACAGAGGAAGGCAAGATCTGACCTTTTCCGCCTCGCCAACATCCCGCCGATTCCGTCCTCCTGAGATCCATCGCGGCCGGACAAACTCTCCCTGCGGTGACAGTCCTGAGAGTAGAAAACAGAAACTCTAAGGTCCAGTTAAGTGAAACAAAATCTTCCACCCCGATCCCTTGCCAGAATCATTTAAACCTCTGCACCTGCCCAGAGAGAGAATGGCCCATTTTAGGAAAGGCAAAACTGAGCTACAGGAAAACCAGCAGGAAGCCCCCCCCCAAAAAAAAGTAGTTTGGGGAGCAGAGCAGGAACTGAGATTTATCTGGAAACCGAAGGCAAACTCAAAACTCAGCTCTCTTCCCCTTTGGGGTTGTTTTTTCTGCGAAATACCTGCAGGGGGGAAACACCCACAAGAGAAACAGGGGAAGGGGATTGAAAGCAGGAAAGAAAACTGTTCTTGTGGCAGAGCGATAGCATCTAGATCTGTCATCCAGATAGCAGAAGCTGAAACAGTTAAAGGGAACTCGGAAATCTGCCATGAAGCACCGACTTGAGAAGTCTCCAAAACAACCAGAAAACAACTTGGATTACTCAATGGCAGAGGGGAGGGGAGAGCAGGGTGCTTTGAGACATGACGAAAACTCTTAAAAAGTTTTACCTTGGATCCCGAATACCTTGCGAGTCGAACGTTTTGGCTCCTTAACACCGCAAACCCGGAAGTGAGCGTTCCAATTTGCGAACTTTCTTTGGAACCTGAACATCTGACGGGGCTTCCGATTGGATGCAGGAGTTTCCTGCAGCCAATTGGAAGCCGAGCCTTGGTTTCCAAATGTTTTTGGAAGTCGAACGGACTTCCAGAACAGATTCCGTTCGACTTCCAAGCTACAACTATGTATATATAGATATAGATAGATGACAGATAGATAGATAGATAGATAGATAGATAGATAGATAGATGATAGATAGATAGATAGATAGATATAGACAGACAGACATTTGATGAGCATGTGTCCATTGTGAGGGGAGACTAATCTACTGTACAAAAGGAACACAGACATTTATTGATCCATCCACTTTTGTCCCTAGTCCTTCCCTCCCCTGGTATTTGGCATTTGGGAGATTCTCCAGGAGGGAAAGCAACTCTCAGGCTGGAGAGATTCCTGTTTGCACATCCTTGCAGCCCCTAAACACCTGAAAAAACTGTTTGGGTGTGCTCACACCTCTGCTCTCATTGTTAACAGAAAAATCTGAGGGCTCCCTTGGACAAAAAACAAGGAACAAAGGAACATTTATTGTCTTTGCTGGCCAGACAGACAGGCTCAGTGGATTTACATCCAAAGGACTTTCTTTTGAAAGAAAATTATATGAAAATGATGTGTAGATGGTATATAACACCAGTACAGATAGGAAGAATGTATAAAACTGGGTCAAATGCATGTTGGAAATGCAAAGAAAAAGAAGGGACTTTTTACCATACGTGGTGGGAATGTAGAGAAATAAAAAAAAAGGGAAATGATATATCATGAGCTGAAGAAAACGTTTAAATTAACATTTGTAAAAAACCCAGAAGCATTCTTGTTAGGGATTGTAGGAAAAGACCTGCCAAGGAAAATAAAGAATTTATTTATGTATGTGACAACAGTGGCAAGAGTCTTAATAGCACAAGGATGGAAGAATGAGGAAATCCCGACAAAAGAACAGTGGCAAGAGAAGTTGATGGACTATGCGGAACTGGTGAAATTGACATACAAATTGCGAGACAAGGGCAACTGTGACTTTAAATAAGAATGGGAACTTTTTACAAACTACTTTAAAAAAACCCAAAATGAATTGGACTCCTTGGCAAGTTTTGAATAAACATACACAAATTTATTGACTGTTAACATAATAGACAGATAATTTAAGGATCTTTACAATTCTAAAATATGGAGAGAACAGGTGTTGAAAAATCAGAGAGAGGAGCTGAGGGAAGTTTTTTGGGGAGAGGGAGGGTTTTTCTTGGAGGGGGAGGGGGAAAATGGAGGGGATGAAGATGATATGTTTTGATAATTTGTTATGTTGAAATTCTTAATAAAAATTATTTTTTTAAAAAAACATCCAAAGGACTGAGCACCCTCCCGAAGAAGGGGGCTTCATAATATACTGTTCCCTTATCAGTTAAGACGATACATATGCATGGAGTACCTTCCAATCATTTGGGATAACGCCCTACTATGATTCCATATAAGGACTCTGGTTAATTGCATATTAATTAAGCAAGCAAACAAAGGACTCTCTGAGCACCTTCACGCAGCACCCACAAGGTCCTCTTCTGTATTATGCACATACTTTGGTATGTGATAAGAAGATAAGAGAGACATCACCTTGCCAACAAAGGTCCGTATAGTTAAAGCTCCGGTTTTCCCAGTAGTGATGTATGGAAGTGAGAGCTGGACCATAAAGAAGGCTGATCGCCAAAGAATTGATGCTTTTGAATTATGGTGCTGGAGGAGACTCTTGAGAGTCCCATGGACTGCAAGAAGATCCAACCTCTCCATTCTGAAGGAAATCAGTCCTGAGTGCTCACTGGAAGGACAGATCCTGAAGCTGAGGCTCCAAGACTTTGGCCACCTCATGAGAAGAGAAGACTCCCTGCAAAAGACCCTGATGTTGGGAAAGATGAAGGGCACAAGGAGAAGGGGACGAGATGGTGGGACACTGTTCTCAAAGAAACCAGCATGTGTTTGACCAAACTGTGGGAGGCAGTGGAAGACAGGAGGGCCTGGCGTGCTCTTTTTGGTATGAGCTGAATAAAGAGTATGAAATCGACTCTCAACTCTGAGTACATTTCAAGAGTGCTGAGAGTTGTCAGGAGGCCCCTGTTCGCCTCAAGGAAATACAATTCCCAGAGCGGTTTAGCAACCAGTCCCTCTTGTATCATTTTTAGATAGCTTAGTTAGCTAGAGTGTGGTGTTGATAGTGCCAAGGCTGCAGGTTCACTCCCCGCAAGGGAGAGCTGCAAATTCCTGCATTGCAGGGGGCTGGACTAGATGTTCCTCAGGAGCCCTTCCAACTCTGCCATCCCATGTTTCCAAAGAAACCCAGCTCTGCCCTGAACAGAAAGGCAGACAAAATCTTGAGACCCCATTAACCTTGACTGGCCCAGCATCCTAGAGGAAGCCAAGCGCCAAGGAAATTAGTCTGGGATTGGTCCCCCGAAATAGAACAGCCTGCCCATCAACCTCACATCTGTGGTCAGGAGGACAGAAAGTGAATACACAGCCACTCTGTGAAATTCAATGGGATAACTTGCTAAAGGGCTTTTTAAAAATAGGCTTAAGAAATGGATCTCCCTTGCCACTGCCACCGCCTCCCCAATTTCCTGCCACCGCTCAATTAAACATTCTCTCGGTGACTTGAAAAGCCTATTAAGGATAAGTAGATCTCAAAGGATCGTAAGCACCAAAGCACATGAGCCCAGACGTCGGTTCAAACGGCTACGCTGTACCTCGTTCACGATCCCACGGGAGACATTTTCCTTTGCAAGCTCTACTTAAATGAGTAAGATTTGCAAGAGGTCATGCACTGGTTAATTTAACCAGAGAAAGGAAGTTTGCGGGGAGGGGGGAGATGCCTGGGACTCACCCCACAGTGTATCATCGTATAATTTTAATCCGTTCTAGTATTTTAACATTTGAATGCTGCAAGGTAGACTTGTAATTATTTCTTGATTTTACTCTCTATCCTTCGTAAGCTGCTTTGGGGGTTTGTTTGTTTTTACAGTCATAGACTTGTAGAGTTGGACGGGACCTCCAAGGTCACCTACAACCCCCTGCAATGCAGGGATCTTTTGCCCAATGTGGGATTCGAACCCACAACCCTGAGATTAAGAGACTCCTGCTCTACCAACTGAGCTTCCCCTGAGATTCAAGCCTTGTGTAAATTTTATGAATAACAGCTCAGGTAGTTTGAGCGTGGTGTCGATAACGCCAAGGTTGCAGGTTCAATCCCAGCATATGGGACAGCTGCAGATTGTATTGGCAAAACCTATTTGGTGTTTTGCTGCTTTCCAACTAGTTGCAGGACCTTAGCCAGACCTAGCAGAGTAAACGCAGAATCCACGGAAGCAATTGGCGACTTGGCTGCAGACAGGATAGACGAAGCAGGAACCAGGAACTTGTAGTTAGGTGTTTATTATATACAGTGGACTATTTACAGGAACAGAACACGGATCTTTAGCTTGCTCTCTCTGACACGACTCACAACTCCTACACCGACACACCGACCTACTGAACTCCTGCACTACGAACTAATACATTCCAGTTAGTAGGCCATTAATTACCACTCCTTTGAGAAAGCTTGACCAATCATGGAGCTGTCTCCATGTCTCTGTTATCACCAGGCAGACTTACTCCTTCACATGACCTTTTGGCTGTCTGCCAAACCTTAATTGATTCTGTGTGAGTAGCTGCACGTACACAGTTTCCCAACAGATTGCAGGGGGTTGGACTAGATGACCCTCAGGGTCCCTTCTACCTCTACAATTCAATGGTTCTGTGAAATAACAAATATAACAAAAGCTCTTGCAGTGGTTAGACTAGATCTGTATCTATATCAGTATATTAATGGAGGAGAAAAAGCTGTTGATGACTGTGGGAATGTTCGGGAATGCAGGAGAGGACATATTGTCTGATAACAGCCTTTCCAACTTGTGTTAACAAGTTCACAATTTAGCAGAGTAACATTCCCCTTTTTAAACTTGCAGCGGATGCGTTTGCTGAGGCTCGCTAAAGCCTCTATAATAACTGTTCTGGTATTTTCCCCATATTCCCTCCTAAAAGATAAGACACGATGCAGTCTTCTATAAAAGCATAAAAAGGTTTACTCACACACCATTCTGTTCACAATAGGATCCCAGAAGGCAGACTTAGCTTAGAAAAGTAACATATACCTGGAAACTATCTCATAAGGAGACAGTCCCTTTGTCCCCTCTTGGCTGGAGGCCAAGAGAGCATCTTTGGCTAAGCAGACTTCTTTGATGCATGTAGTCAAAAAGAGAGAGATGGTTGTCCTGCCCTGTGCTTTTGTCGTTACCTGCACAGGTGAGGCCACGCCCATCTCTTGTCACATGCAGAGGAAGTCTGTCCCAGCCCAGGAGGAAACAGGAAGTTTACCTGCTGGCTGGACAAACATTCCTCCCCAGGTGTAAACATGTTCACTCTAGGAATGTTGTACTTGACTGCTCTTGTGTTTCACATCCCACAGTGACTGCTGTCCATGAAGCTCTGCCTGCACGAGCAGAGCCAGCAATGCTTCTGAATGCCAGGGACTGGAAATCACAGGAACGGAGAGTTGCTTTTGGGCTTGGACCATACTTGCTGAGAGCCAGTGTGGTGTAGTGGTTAAGAGCAGTGGACTCGTAATCTGGTGAACCGGGTTTGATTCCCTGCTCCTCCACATGCAGCTGCTGGGTGACCTTGGGCTAGTCACACTTCTCTGAAGTCTCTCAGCCCCACTCACCTCACAGAGTGTTTGTTGTGGGGGAGGAAGGGAAAGGAGAGCATTAGCCGCTTTGAGACTCCTTCAGGTAGTGATAAAGCGGGATATCAAATCCAAACTCTTCTTCTTCTTCCCATAATGGGCATCTGGTTGGCCGCAGAACAGGACCCTGGACTAGATGGGCCATTGGCCTGATGTCTATCAGTGTTTTTAAAAAGAAAAAGTCTTCCTCTAATAACTCTCAGGAGTGTCTTGCCCAGGACATCAGGGCATCGCTCGGCACCTAAAAGACTACTGTCCATGAAGCTCTGCCTCTATAGTCAGAAGCAGCAATGCTGAGGGATGCAGGTGGTGCTGTGGTCTAAACCACTGAGCCTCTTGGGCTTGCCAGTCAAAAGGTCGGCAGTTCAATTCCCCTCGATGGAGGATGCAGCCTCATTTCAGTAGAAACTCAAATCAAATCAAACCTACCAGTTCGAAAGCACGCCAGTGCAAGTAGATACATAGATACCGTTGGCGGGAAGGTAAATAGTGTTTCCGTGCGCTCTGGTTTCCATCACAGTGTCCCGTTGCGCCAGAAGCAGTTTAGCTATGCTGGCCACATGTCCCGGAAAGCTGTCTGTGGACAAACACCAGATCCCTCAGCCTGAAAAATGAGATGAGCGCCACACCCCATAGTCGCCTTTGACTGGACTTAACCGTCCAGGGGTCCTTGACCTTTTACCTTACCTTCTGGAAACCACAGGAGGGGAGAAGGCTCTTGGGCTCGGATCCTGCTTGTGCGTTTCACACAGGTAACTGGTTGGCCACTGTGAGAACAGGATGCTGGACTAGAGGGGCCATTGGCCTGATCCAGTTACATGGCTTTTCTTAGGTTCCGGTGACTATACAATCATACCTCGGGTTACAGACGCTTCAGGTTGTGTTTTTTCAGGTTATGGACCATTGAAACCCAGAAGTACGGGTTACTTCTGGGTTTTGACGGCCGCGCATGCGCAGGGGCCCGGTCTTATTCAACATCTTTATCAACGACTTGGATGATGGACTCAAGGGCATCCTGATCAAATTTGCAGATGACACCAAACTGGGAGGGGTGGCTAACACCCCAGAGGACAGGATCACACTTCAAAACGACCTTGACAGATTAGAGAACTGGGCCAAAACAAACAAGATGAACTTTAACAGGGAGAAATGTAAGGTATTGCACTTGGGCAAAAAAAATGAGAGGCACAAATACAAGATGGGGGACACCTGGCTTGAGAGCAGTACATGTGAAAAGGATCTAGGAGTCTTGGTTGACCACAAACTTGACATGAGCCAATAGCGTGACGCAGCAGCTAAAAAAGCCAATGCAATTCTGGGCTGCATCAATAGGAGTATAGCATCTAGATCAAGGGAAGTAATAGTGCCACTGTATTCTGCTCTGGTCAGACCTCACCTGGAGTACTGTGTCCAGTTCTGGGCACCACAGTTCAAGAAGGACACTGACAAACTGGAACGTGTCCAGAGGAGGGCAACCAAAATGGTCAAAGGCCTGGAAACGATGCCTTAGGAGGAACGGCTAAGGGAGCTGGGCATGTTTAGCCTGGAGAAGAGGAGGTTAAGGGGCGATATGATAGCCATGTTCAAATATATAAAAGGATGTCACATAGAGGAGGGAGAAAGGTTGTTTTCTGCTGCTCCAGAGAAGCGGACACGGAGCAATGGATCCAAACTACAAGAAAGAAGATTCCACCTAAACATTAGGAAGAACTTCCTGACAGTAAGAGCTGTTTGACAGTGGAATTTGCTGCCAAGGAGTGTGGTGGAGTCTCCTTCTTTGGAGGTCTTTAAGCAGAGGCTTGACAACCATATGTCAGGAGTGCTCTGATGGTGTTTCCTGCTTGGCAGGGGGTTGGACTCGATGGCCCTTGTGGTCTCTTCCAACTCTATGATTCTATGATTCTAAGCGCTAAATCGCGCTTTGTGCATGTGCAGAAGCACCAAATCGCAACCCGTGCATGCGCAGAACACGCCGCTGCGGGTTGCAAACATGCATCCCGCACAGATCACGTTTGCAACCTGAGCATCCACAGTATCTAGTATTGATTAAGAATTTAGAATCATAGAATCATAGCATTGTAGAGTTGGAAGGGACCCTGAGAATCATCTGGGGAGACCCAGCCAGATGGGCGGGGTACAAATAATAAATAATAATAAATTATTATTATCTGGTTCAACCCCCTGCAACGCAGTGGTCCCGGATGGGGATCGAACCTGCAACCTTGCTGTGATCAGCACCATGCTCTCAACAATGAAGCTATCCAGGCTCATTTAGTCTGATTCATTTGCAGGTAAAGCAATGCAATTGCGACACACTTCATAATCGGCACCACGCTCACCCTGCAGTTACCCACAAATTTCTGATTGGAAGGGGAAAGGGGAAGCAGTGAAGAGGAGGAGAGAAAAGAGATCAGTCCAGCCTCAGACTACAACTCCCATCAGCCTCAGGGAGCACATACTGAAGGCTCGGGTAACACAACAAACAGATCCCGTTCAAAAAGGAAGGGAAGAGGGAGAGGAGGCTCTTCCGAAACACCTGTTCATTCAGCACCCATCCTGCTTTGCTGGCACAAAGCTGATACAGTTGTTCCGTTATATCCAGCCCTTACTGAGCATCTGTTCCAATTTCTGTGCAAGAAAGGCTTATTTGACAATGAGCGTTTGTTTGGCTGTCATCTTGATTTCCTTGCATTGTGCTGACACCGCTTCATAATAAGATTATAAGAACATAAGGAGAGTCTGTTGGACTCACAGGGACCAACCAGACGCCTTTAGAAAACCCGCAAGCAGGATTCGAACACAAGAGCCCTCCGCCTTAGTGGTCTCCAGCAACAGGGGCTGAAACATCAGAGAAGGATTTCAGTTCAAAGCGTTGTAAATTTAAACAGGGAAAACAGTTAGAGGAAAAACGGGACTCCATGTTGCCATCTGGTGGCACAATGTTATATCGCACATACAATGCATAGACAGTAAATCACTTTTTCTGCACCAGTCTAGCTGAGTCCTGGGATTCAGACGCATTGCTGCCTCTCATTGTGGCAATCAATAGCCCTCTCCTCCACGAATTTGTCTCATCCTCTTTTGAAAACCATCCATGTTGGTGGCCATCACTGCCTCTTGTGGCAGGGAGTTCCACCGTTTAACTGGGCACTGCAAGAATAAATCGGCCCAGTGTACCTGAAGGAGCGTCTCCACCCCCATCATTCAGCCCGGACGCTGAGGTCCAGCTCCGAGGGCCTTCTGGCAGTTCCCTCCCTGCGAGAAGTGAGGTTACAGGGAACCGGGCAGAGGGCCTTCTCGGTGGTGGTGCCTGCCCTGTGGAACACCCTCCCTTCAGATGTCAAGGAAATAAACAACTATCTGACTTTTAGAAGACA